TATATATATATATATATATGAAAACTCACAAGATGTTGATCATTAAGCAAATGAACGATACGTGATGCATATCCATTTGGTGGCAGTACATCCGGACATGTACGAAACAATTTCAATAAACACAATGCTGCACTCTGCTTCACGAAATCTATTGTATCACTAAAACATTTATTTTTATCAACAACTCAACATTATCGAAGAATAATCAATGAAACGAACCCGGAAACTAGTAATTTGGGTAAATCCTGAGCAAATGCTTCGGCCATATCTTTACTACCAATATTTGAAATACATTGAAGTGCTAGGTTGATATGAACTGGATTGCGCGATTGAAGATCATTTTTTATTGATTGAATTATTAATTTTATTAAATCGGAATCATTGTTTATCAATACCGATATAAACAAATAACCCTTAAAACAATAACATGAACAATGAAAACAGTAGTGATCATAGTTGTACAGCTGATAATAATATCTGAAAAGACAATCTTACGGAAATGGGTTGTTCAATAGAATAACTATTCAATGAGAAGAAGTGAATAAAGCAAAGAACAGATCTGCAGAATAACACTAACGATTTGCTTTTCGGTATACTTATTTGAACTAAGCAAGTTTGTCGCTTCCATATGACCAAAGTCGATATCATTTCCGAGGAGAAAAATGAATAATAATTTGCAAACGTATTTCTTTTTCTGATATCCATCGATCATTTTATCCCCTCAATGAAGTGATCATCAAAAACTGAGTAGTCTTGCAGTTAATGTGTGCCCACAAGCAAACAGTGATCTTGTGAAACAAATGAATATATAAACAGACAAACATCTAAATAAACTGAAATTAATAAATACCTTTGAATTTGCTGCGAATATTTGCTAACTCTCGATTAATTCTTTTCAGTTCAGCTTCTTTGCTCTTACAATTTCGAATATCGGATATAAAAACGGCCAAACCGCGCATACCATCTCCTTTCACAGCCGGCATCTTCTTTCGGTTCTTCAACATCAAAATATGTGTATTAGTTAGTCATTCGTATAAAAACAATAATATGAAACAGTAAGGAGTCTCCCTAAAAAATGATAGCGATCATAATAGCAATAATAATAACTCCCGAATATAGTTGTTTTGTAAGCAACAAATTATTTAGAAAACAAAGACCAATCAATCAGCGAAGTACCATAAAAATATTGGTTAAAGTTTGTCTGCTGATCATTATTATGCACCATTTCAAATGACAGTACTTCAGTGACTTATTTTGCTTTTCACATAGAACAATGCAAATAAATCCATTCACATGCATATACATTTGGAGACGCAAGAAACTCATCAAAGAGCTAGTAATGATCACTACAACATACTGATAACAATCTATTTCTAGTGATAATATTAATAATAACAGATAACGTAGAAGAATTATGATAACAACTTTAATACGAGAACCTAAAGACAACATAAAACTTATGTTAAAAATAGCGACAATGTACAATAACAACTGGACGAAGAAGTCCATACAGTGGCAGCCTATAATCGGGAAAAGAAGTCGGGATCGACCGAAAATGAGATGACGAGACAATACGCAGCTCAAACGTGGATGAGAAGAGCAACTCACAGTGTTAATTGGAGTGATTTTGAATAGTCTCATGTGCGAAACATACATTAATTAGCTGAACGAATAAATAAATAAACAAAATCATCAATCAAACCAAGTTAACACAAATCTGAAATCATAACTGTAGTGCTGCCGATTATTCCACTCCCCCTCCCAACTTGTTCACGGTATTATCATCAACGTCGCAATCTGTTGTGTTAAGGCAAGTCTGCAGATAACTCGTACTGCTCTTCGCCTCAGCATTTCACCAACTCTATGGTTCAATCTCATAAGTGTATGTTGGAAAGAAAGCCTTAATCATCTTTCAATGCTAACGCTCCTCAAATCATTCAAGAAACGTCAATAATAACAACAACAATCACTACTCTATCTTACCTACGACAAGCTTGTATAGCTTTTTCTAAGACATGTCTAACACTCCTTTATCGTCATGTGCTGCTGCTCATATCTGTCTATCGGCAAGCGCTTACTCATGCAATTATATTAAACTAGGAGCTGGGCAGTTGTTTCGTTGCATGATTTTTGTTGCAACCATTTAGAGCACAAAGGGAGATGCACATTCAACGTCGGTATACTTTGCAAAAACGATTATAGAGTCAGAGGAAGCAATATATGAATATGAATTTCGGAAACAATTGATAAGTGATATATAATAAGATGTTTGAAATTCTGTTCCCAAAAAGAGGAAATAGGAACAAACGACATGTTATAGTAGGTTATCATTAGTAACGGGTCATATGGCATATGTCATCAAAGTTACGTTACATCATCAGTACTAATGATGTTTCTATCCCATTAAACTGTTTTGTTCCTAGGAATAGAACAGAGTAGTTCCAAACAAAGATGCAAAGAACAAAAAGGAACAGAACAACTGAAGAGCAGAATAGAACAGTTTGCCACAAGTGCGAAACAGAAACATCATTAATCAGCATCAGGTCAAATGGTTTCCACCATCAGTATTAGTTGAGATGGCATATATCATCAGTATCAAGTCAAATGGGGGTTGGTACGTATCAACAGTATCAGGTCAAGTGGTGCATATCATCCGTGTCATGTCAAATGGCACATATCGTAGTTCGAATGGTATACTTATGTTGTGAGGATCGGGGATATTGGAGGACCCCGCTCCGGTTCCCTGTCCCCAACTTTTTTCGAGCCGACTGCATTTTCGGGATCCTCGACTGCAAAATTTCGCCTCCAGCTTCTCCATTCCCGACTTTTATGGAATTCCCGGGGATCACCGTTCCCCGAAATTTGACGTAATCAGATAAAGGCGCCAAAAACGTGTATTGGAGCAATTTCGCCGACAATATTCCCATGTTTTATGAGCTAATGTAGCCTTATGAGAGAATTTTCAAGCGTTGGTTTGGAATACTGTGGTTGGACATTCGGCCTGTGGACGATTGGTCTGATTGACATTTGGACTGTGGACGATTGGTCTGATTGACATTTGGACTGTGGACGATTGGTCTGATTGACATTTGGACTGTGGACATTTAGCCTTTGGACAGATGGCCTATTAGACATGGAGGTTATGCAACGACAAGAATTGAGTTGGGGGTCTCTGAGAGCACCTAAGAGTATCAATCATAAGCATTCGCGGGTTTTCCGAGTCCTTCGGCCCTACTTTCTGATGTTCTAGAGCCCTTTATTCATAAATCTGTTAACATATTATGTACACACTGTAAACTGCTATTGTTGGTTTCGACCGAAATTAGACCGTGATCAACGAATTTATCAAGAACAAACAATGTACTTCATCTTCATCATCAGATGAATAGCATTTTACTTCAACAATTTCCCTCAAGGAATTGTGTTCGGAATAGCAAAGAGCAGGTTTCGCGTGAACGTGACTGATTTATCGTTTATTGCCGAATTGAGATTATGACGATGTGCACGTCTGACATCATCCATAAAATCCTACTTCAACAGATGGATCACTTTGTTGTTGTTACCACGGTTTTGAACACTCATTTAACTGCTTCAGTGCTGTTAACCTTTATTCTCAAAACAATGTTAAATGTAATGCGCAGACTTAGGATCAAGCCAAGGATCAGACTGATAGCTGGTGTGAGAGGATTATTGCTTGGATATGGGAATTGATGTTCACGACTGTGTGTGATTGGTATCCACTGTGCCACTGATATTAGAGTTGGATTGGTAGCCACAGACCACTTTTCAACGGCCACCGAATTTCAGTATCAACGACTAAAACCACAGATGACTGATCAGTTGAAACCACAGTTGACACCAAATCGCTTATTCATTGTTGGTCACAGACCGATAAGATCTTTTGGATATTGTTGAGTGTCTGTCATTGTAATGCGCTCATGCCTACCTTCCTCCTCCAGCAGTTATGATACGAAGTCGATTGGAAACAAGTTTATGGAAATATCCACTCTATCACTTAAGATATGAAACCGATTTTTTACGAAAAAATCTCTTTCAAATTGTTTTTTCACGTGTTCGAGATAGAAAATAGATTCAGCATAGTAGAAAGTGTTAATGTTTTGATTTTCCAGCACATGTGAAGTCTGAATTGAACCGTTTATGTGGAAGAAAGACAACGCAAATCGTGCCATTCCTGTTTAATGGAAATTCATTCACAGATCAACCTCGGAATCATATGTTTTCGGGGAGAAAATCGTTAAGTAGCAAGTGGAGAACATTGCACTGAATTGCTACCTACAATAAATTAAGGTTGCAATTGGTAGAACGCTTGGCGAGCAGTGCGATCGAGCAATCGAGCAAAATGATGAGCTCTTTTCCTTTATGCATGTTTCTACAGCCATCATGCACAACTGTTATGAAGATAAAAGAGTTCTCCGGGCGGTGTTTACAAACGTATGCGTTCATATCCAAATGTTCAGCAATGAACGAGTTGCATTTCATGCATTTTATGAGAATCGGAACTTGAGCAATATATCCGTTCAAAAATTCCACAGTAAAAGAGCTCAGAAACCCCCGAGACTCGGAAAATTCGGGAACGCTTGAGGCCAATACTCGCGGGTATTCTAAGAGGCCTCTAACACAATTCTATTCATTCCATTACCTCCATTTCCATTAAGCCAAATGTCCACTGGGCGAATGTCCGTAGGCCGAATGTCTGTAAGCCAAATGTCCATAGGTTAAACATTCTTAGACCAAATGAACTAGTACCGGTTGTGATATGCAATAGTTTGGTGTTGTTGCATGCTAAAGAGCTAAAAAGGAGAAGGTTTCGTCAGCGGAGTTGTAGCGCAGAAATATTGCGTTTCGGGACAGCAAAGGGAAAGCAGTGTGAAGTGCATTTGCTCGACACGTGGAAAGGAGCTCATTACGAAACAGTCATCAACAAAGATCTTTTCAACCCCTTACCTATCGTCCCTGCTCATAGGAACGAAAGTTTTTGGCTACCTCAGAAGAACATGGCATCTTTGATCACTGAGACAGAGCTGTCACTTGGCCGAAACCTTTAGTAGTGAACACTGACCATTTCTGCAATGTGCAGTAGAAGAAATTTACGCGAATGTCATTCCGGAGTGGTACTCGTTTAACATTGGTTATTTTTCGTGTGCTTCAATGAGGCATCGCGGTTATCCCTATTCTCATGTACCTGCTGGGTTCAGTTCAAAAGTTCCATTTTATGCAAAATTCAGGGAACGGGAACGAGGACAAGATTGAATTTTTCCCGAAATTCTCTGTCCTAGCAACACACTAGCAGTACATATCCATAGTATCCAGTCAATGAGGAGGACGAGAACACAAAATCGATTCAGTTGATGATAGAAGGTCATTTTGAACAGCTCTGCGATAGAAGATCTTCAGCCCGTGTTATCGACCGACCTCGAAGAAACGAACATATTTTACGAGGTAATTATATTTGAGAATTACTAATTATAATTGTTTTCAACTGAGAACTTCGATTCATTTGCAGATTTCTGAATGGACTTAGCGTACTGCATGTAGTACACTGGACAAATGGCACTGGCAAATCGTTTGTTGACCTTCCTCAGTTTATGGTATATATGCTTATTGATTGTTGTGATATTCAGCATCGCTTACTATTCTTCTCATCAACTATTATATCCTCCAGGGTAGTGTTCGTCGGGGAGCAGTTTTTCGAACGAGGGGGACCCCGCGGGGAAAAATAGACGGGGGGAGGGGTCCCCGCGAAAAAGTCGGGAAGCAAATTGCACGGGGAGGGGGGGGGGGGGGGGGGGGAGGAGCGCTCCCAGGGGTCCCCGACGAACACTACTCCAGGGTATCTGTCGTTCCATCACGATTTACGGCTCTACAAGGAGGGCGAACGTCGTATTGCTAGCCCATGGAATCGGGAATTCAACATTTCAGTATTTCCATCTGTACTGAGAGGTCCATATCTTTCAGCAATTTTTTTGAACACCCACAACCAAATTCAGCAACGACGTGAAGTTAGAAATAGAACAACTTTCTATTTTGTAGATTCTATGCAGGTAGGCATACCACTATCAGGTGAAACTGTGAAATTTTGCCAAAATCACGATCATATTAGAGAAACAATATTTTCTTCAGAAAAAACTACATCGATAACTTCCCAATTATTTTCTACGAATATATTAGGGACAGATCTCGCTTCAGCCTCCACAGCGAATCTTGCCTAATTATCCTACATACTGTCGCAACTGGTAGTCGCGAAGAACGCCTAAGATGACATTGTATGCAAATATCTTCTGTCTACCACATCGCCTACAGTCATTGTTAATTGTTTTCATAAGTTATTCATTATGAGTTGTTTTCATAAGTTATTCATTCCGGGTTGTTTCAATTGTTCAGTGCGGGTGATTGCCTTTGCTTTTCTTTCCCGCATTCGCTCACAGTTGTGTCAAACGTGTTAAGTTAAATTCAGTACCGTCACGTTCCGCCAATTAAATTTAAATCCTTCGCTCCATCAACTCAAGACACGAGCGAAGTCAATATCAAATAAGTCGTCCAACAACCTACGTCCTGTCCCAAAGACAAACCAATTCCCAACCCACATCCGATCCTCAATACCCTACCCAACCTATTTCCACTTGATACCCCAATCAATTGACGTATCGTTCAATCGAACGAACAAGCTAAATATAAGTCAGTTGCAATTTGTGTCAAGAAAGCGCTTTCATTAAATCAACTGCGATCGACTTTATTATATCATCTCTGTTATCCGTTATTCTTGAATTGTTGTTAATCATTATTTCATTATCAATTTATCTCTCTAAATTGTTGTTATTTGACGGCTACGAGTCAAGACAAAGCACCTACATTCATATACAATCAACCCTAGTCGTCACACATACCAAAATTTAGTCTACGTCCAGTCTTAACCATTTATATTCTTTTACCGAGATTTTCCTTCTAATTTTGCAACTTAGAAGCATCATCTGAGTCAATATACCCTCGTTCGCCTACCAGATAAAGCAAAATGATATGTCATTCCAACTCAAATTGTTGACAGTCAGCAAGTCTGTGTCAGCGCCGGAAACTATTGAGCTGCAACGTGGTTTCAAAGGACAACCGAATGCAATTCAGTTCCATGCAGCCTAGAGTTTGCGAAATCTTGATCGTTCCAGGATCGTTTTTTAAACCCAGGACGATCCCGAGATTGAAAAGCACCTTTTGAAATGTAGAAGTGTGACTTGTTCAATACATTCTCTTTGAACCAGTGTGTTCATAATTAATCACAATACAGTTTACTCAACAAATTCAACAAAGCAAAGCACCAACAAGTACGTATGCAGATAGAATTTGCGATTAGATAAATTTTCTGCAGTCTGATAAAATTTGTGCATTAAATCCTACCTGCGGTCAGATAAAGTCTATATATTAAAAATTACCAACCATAAGACAGCTGTTAGACAATTTTTAAATTACTGAACAATCTTTAAATAATTATTTTAATTTTCCAGCGCATAATCGAAATATTTGTTTATTCTGTTGAGAAAATGGTTTTGTTTCACCCGAAATCCCATTAATCGTCTTGCGTTGTTGGTCAAGTATGAGATGTTTTTTATATCAAGTGAAATCTGATGAATGTATAATTGTTCCTGAGTGTTTTTTTTTGCAGAACTCTACCAGAAGAAAGTTGATAAAAGGAAAACTCTTTTGAATAAAATTCAATGAATTTTGAAATAAACTCTCAGAAACGTTAAAGCGTTGCATAACTCATTCGCGTTCTTAGCTTTGTTTAAAAAAAGAAAATGCATAGAAAGCTCGCTTATTGTTGGTAGATAAACTTGTTGGTCTAATCGTTTTAATCGACCTGTAAAATTTTTGTATATTTGCCCTTCCCTTTGTCTCTCCGTACAAATGCATCGCAGAGATTACTCTGCTCTTCATGTCATTACTTCTTTCACAACTTAAGGAATTCCGGCAATTCAGCGTCAATTCTGTCTTCTCTGAGAAAGAAATATCATGTTTATTTCCATCCTCGGATGATTAAGTTACCATCGATGAGTTGGACTCTGGCTTATCATCATTTTTACAGCTCGCACCGAACAACCTCGAGAATAAATTCAATCCGGTTCCGTAATACTTTCTTTCACGACCGCACACCCACTATGACCTGTTTCTTTGGGTAATAAAGCAACTTTGATAACGAAAGATGTGACATAGTCGTCAAATTGTTGGTCACTATTTTGTGAAAGTGGCGATATGCCATGAATCATCTTTTCATTACGACGTGAATAGTATATGAGTGCATATGATTAAGCTGAGAATGGTTTATGCTTTACTCATGATGGATATACTCAATTTCAAAAAAAACATTTGTGTTATGAATCCCGGGAATCCTGTGAACATCGGGAAACGTGCATCCTGGGACTGAGATTCAAAAGCTGGGGTTAGGAATTCACGAGATTCCTTGCAAACCCTAAGAGCAGCCCTGTTGAGGCTTATGTTGAGATCGATACTTCAGCTAAAGTTCTCACTGAGTCTGAAATTGTCCGGTCCGGATGTTGTTTATGGTTTACTGTCAAGATTTTGTTCCACATAAACCCAACAGAGTGGTTACTCTCCCTGGCTGTCGCTTGGTCTTGGCAATTCTCTCTGGCTGTCGCTTGGTCTTGGCAACCCTTCCTCATTATGCACTGTTCTTGCAGATGGACAGACATTAATCACTTACTTAATCATTAGCAGCTATAAAGCGCTACTGATCATTCAGACCATATTGTATAAATGAATTGTTCAGATAATGTTGGCTGCATTGGTAAATGAGTGAGGTATTGCTAGTGGTGATTAATTAATTGATTAATGACGATTGACTTCAATTGTGACAAGTTATTTATCTTCTCCGTGAGAAACCGTAGGTTTTTGATTGTGCTTTTTTTTCGTCAGAACTTGATGAAAAATCGATATTCGTGTAGTGAATGATTTCTATATCATCCACTCAGTAGTGCGTTATTCGCTATTCCGCCACTAGCGTAGCTACTTTTTTCAGCAACGCGATAACGCGCTACTTTTTCTATATAACGGATAAATGTAGCGATAAATTTGGCTGCAATAGTTTTTTCAGCGGCCTAAAGTAGCGATAGCTTGCGCTATTTTTTTCGTTAACGCTTTAGAGAATTTCTTTTTTTTTCGAACTTCTGCTTTTCGTCTGCGATGGAACTCTCATTTTTAATGCGCAAATCCACATGAAGCAAAACGGTAACACCAGCGAATGCGCGCGTGTGGCGATCGATGTCTGCAATTGTGTCGGACATTCCTTCTGAACTCACTATGTTATGTGACTTCAAATAAATTACGTGACAATGCAACGAAGTTTTTTGTTCGTTTATTATCCCATTAGGAAAAGATTTAATAAGAGCCAAATGATCGAGACTCAAACGATTTGTTGATGTTCTTAGAAGGGAATGAGGTCTAATATGGGCTGCTGCCAGCTGAACGTTTTTATTTTTGAATTTTGTTCTCGTCACTTGGTTATTTTCTTATTGTTGAAGTTCGCCTCTATTGTTGATTGGTGTACATTGTTGGAAATACTTTTTGCTGTTGAATGAGTGAATAAAAATTTCTGACTGCTCGGTGTAAAGAGGTTTTCTTCCGGAAACTTAAGCAGCACTATTGTAAATTTTGAGAGTGGATTTAAATGTAGCGATCATTTCAGTGGCGTGCCCATCACTGCATGCACGCACTGGATGCATATAAACCTGCTTCATCACGAGAGTATTTTTAGAGGAGTGTGTCGAAACTCGTATTAGTATGTATTTTTGTCTAGATGTGTGCGTTTTGTCTAGCTGTGTACCATGTGGCAAATACGTGCTTTACTTGTGGCTACATGCAGTTTGATTGCTTCAGATCTATGTGTGTACTATGCACATATGTTATGTTGTGTAAGAAAGAAGTGAAATTTGAGTGCTGAGACTGCAGATATGAAAAAAATGTTCTGTAGAGTTCGCCTCTAAAGGATCAATAAATTCTCATTGTTGAGTTCAATATTTCCAGCTGTGCATTACATTAAGATCTTAGCGATGTGAATGGATTTACTTGTATGTGCGTATCACTTGTGTGTTAATGCAGTAATTGTTGTCTTTTCATGGACATATTCATAATCGTTTATGTATGAAACTATTTTATAGGGTGGTTATATATTTGTTAGTATCTCAAGCTCAGTTATGGCTCAGACTCTGTCAAAGAAAGATCGACTTAGTAGATGGTATTTTGGAGGTCTTGCATCTGCAGGTGCTGCATGTTGCACGCATCCTCTTGATCTTCTCAAAGTTAGTGAAACTATTTGTTAGGTAGTTTTTTTGTTATGAATCGTTCTTTGTTAGTGGAATTGGTATTGTTATTGTTTATATAATTAAAGGTACACCTTCAAACACAACAGCAGGGTAAAGTAACAATCGGTCAAATGATTGTCAAAATATATCGCGGTGATGGTGTGAGAGGTTTTTACAACGGTATCTCTGCATCGCTTTTAAGACAATTGACTTATTCAACAACACGTTTTGGTATGTACGAAACGATTAAAAAGCAGTTTCCTGGAGGTTTGTTCTCTGCTTTCAACAGGATATCACTATTTTTAATCTTTCTGCATGATGTCATTCTATTTATCAATGAGACGTAATTAATTGTAAAAACAGATTCGACGACGATTCCCTTCTATCAGAAAGCATTCTTTGCTGGAATCAGTGGTGCTTGTGGTGGATGGGTGGGTACTCCAGGTGATATGGTGAACGTTCGAATGCAGAATGACATGAAGGTTGTTTACTCACGTGGATGATAATCTCATTTGATATTATTAATACTTGTCATTAGTGTCATTGCTCATGTTTGAATATATCAATATTAATGGACTTGTAAGCAATAATTTTAGTTAGCAGCAGATAAACGACGTAATTACAAGCATGCGATAGATGGCGTGATTCGAGTGTGTCGTGAAGAAGGTGTTACGAAGTTGTTTAACGGTGCTACGATGGCTACTGGAAGGGCTGTACTGATGACTATTGGACAGTTATCTTTCTATGATCAAATCAAACAAACCGCTATTGCAACCGGCTATATGCAGGACAATCTTACAACGCATTTCTTCTCGTCGTTTTGTGCTGTGGGCATTTTTATTACTATTTTTTATGATTTAAGTTGTATTCGCTCACTCCAATATGATGTCTATTTGAGGCATCAATAGCAACTGTCCTGACACAGCCACTGGATGTTATGAAGACCCGCATGATGAATGCTCCTCCCGGTCAATTCAAGGTTTGTTTTATACGTGATTTCATTTTTAGTCGTTGTTATGAGCTCACGTAATTTTTAAACGTTCAATGTAAAATTTTTGCAGGGTATTATGGATTGCTTCATATATACAGCGAAATTGGGACCAGCGGGCTTCTTTAAGGTTACAATTGATTAATTCGAATTTAAGTACATGAATAATTAATTGAATTTTGTTGAGTTCCAACAAGTATTATGTGCTAATAATAAGGTGTACCTTTTTAGGGCTTTTTACCCGCTTGGGTACGTCTGGCACCTCACACAGTATTTACGTTCATTTTCTTCGAACAGCTGCGCATGAACTTTGGTTACTTCAAAACGGTTGAATCGTTGAGCAAGCAGTAATTGATGAATTGTCATAGATGAATAATTATTATCGTTATTGTTTTTATCATTTCGATGTTCCCGTTGTTACTGGTATTTAATTTTTATTAACGAACGTTCGGTTCTTACACTTAATTATATTAGTTTCATATACTGATTTAGTTAATTGCATTCTCGTGTATTAATTGATGCTCTTTTAGAGGTGTAGTTTTGTTGTGGCATGAATTTATTGAGAGGTTACGGGTAAAGTTAGGGCTGTCGAATGATTGACTTCACGGGATGAAAAGTGAAGTGAACATTTCAGTTGTGTGACGATTGATTGTTTGAAATGGTAGAGGGTATCATTTGATTATGTCATTAGATCGGATGTGACTGTGTAATATGTGATGACAGTGATAACAATGATAATTATGTTGTAATCGTAATATCCATTTTGATTACCGGTGATTGTTCAGTGATAGTAAATGAGTTATATCTTATCGTGCTGTTTATATTCAGTCGCTACCCATAAAATGAATATTTATTGAAAGGGAAATATTGCAAATAGTTCAGCCTTTTTAGGGGACGGAGAGTGAATTGAGGTGTTGTCCCCGTGAAGACAGTATTCACATGATACACACCTATCCATCATGCATACAGACGGATCGAAGTATGACGTGAGCAGGAGTTATGTTCGTTTGCGTTGATTGCGATAAGATTGCCGAATCGCATATGCTCGCTTCAACAGTCTCTCAAGCTCACCAGATTCGTCTTTCTGTGCAGTCTCTTCATGTCCACCAACATATCGACCTCTTATGTAGAGCTGAGGAACTGTACGACTTCCAGAGATATATTTTAAGTGATCCTGCAAAGTGATATTAATTACCAATCAAACTGATTCAAAAATCCTTTTCATCGATCAAAATGGTGTTTGTATGATCGTTGTTATCAAACGGGTCTTTAAATAAATGTAATGAACACTTCAAAATGAACCTGCATTATCGCCATATCTGCTTCTAGATCCAATTCAACTGTTTTCATATCCTGAATATCGTATTTGGCAAGAATGCGTTTGATACGGTGACTGTACGGACAATATGTTTTCGAATACAACATCACTTTATGGTAGCGAATGTCGTAGTCCATACGTCGTTCGAGATCGCGAATTCGACGATCCTCATATTGTGATGCCTTTAAACATCTTATTCACTGCTTCATTCAACCACAGTTCACTAGTGTGTTGCGGAGGCGGAAAAAAGTCGGGGACGAAATTTCACGGTCGGAGACCTTGGAGACGCAGTCAGCTCAAAAGAAGTCGAGGACGGGGAATCGGGAACGGTGTCCTTGAAATTCTCCGATCCCCGCAAAACATTAATACACGCTTACCTACACTAGTGTGTTGTGGGGACGGAAAAAAAAGTAAGGAACGAGAAAGTCTGAGACAAAATTTTGCAGTCGGAGACTCCGAAAATGCGGTCGACTCGAAAAAAGTCAGGGACGAAGCAAGGGATCGGGGAAGGACTACCCGGAATGCCCTGATCCCCGCAACACACTACAGTTGATTCTATCATACTAAAAACTCTGTGCTTGTTTGCTTGTTTATCCATTCTTTCCCTCTGTCACAGCGTTTGTCAGGAAGCAACTTTTTGGCCGCGGGGAATCCCATCGGAGAACAGAGTGGCAGGGGTGGAACCCCGACAGAAAATCAGGGAGCGAATTGAACGGGGGTAAACTTCCACCAGGAGGAATTCGTCCGGGGGAAGGACCCCGACAAAAAAAGTGGGGAAGCAGAACTGCCGAATGGAGGGGGTGTCGAGGAATGGTTGCATTGTCGAATCCCACACGGAAGGGACGAGGAGCAAGAAAATTTTTCTCCTCAATGTGCACTTCCGAAAGGAAAACGAAGACGGTTCAATGACAATGCACTCCAGACGACGACTTTTAATAAAAATGAGGAATACGGACAGGTCGGACCAATTGGGACCGAACATTCGGTTCTGGAGATTTGGTTTACTCTTGCAACATCTCTAAATACGTCCTCGTTTTGGATGCTCAGTTGCGTTTCGGTCAGCACCGCAATGTTCATCGGCGATTTCCATCATTATTCGAACACCGAAGCCAAAAAACTTCGACGGCTTCGAAACAGTCTGTTGCTGAGCTCTTCGAAACTTGAAACCCTTACAAATCTTCTTCTTTAGTACAAAATTTCATACCGATGAATATAAACTGCCTTCACGAGGATTCAGCCCGCCGTTTGCATGGTTCACCTGATTGCATTTCTGAGTAAGTCCGGTTCGTATGAGCCGCAATTTCCGAATTTTGCACGATTCGCTGAGCAGGGAACGTGCAATGGAAGGATACAGAACATGGGAAGGCATATGGGAGACACATAAAAAGGAGAAGAGACAAGCGCTTATTGCAGTGACAAAGTGAGTTCAGTTGCTGCGGTACGAGCAGCAACTGTGTTAACACCCGTTTCACATGACTGTGTGCTTTATCACCCCTCGCATGCATCTACGAATTTGAATGTAAGCGTTTCATGTGAGCAGGTCACGCTGAACGTGTACTGCTGTGTCCGAATGTGCTTGACAGGTCACCAAAGAACACCACTTGCACTTCAACAGCAAATTATTCAAAATTCTCGCGACGCGAAACGTTTTATGCAAAGGTTGACAGTTACCGAGGAATCCNGGGGGGGGGGGCCTCCGACAAAAAATTCGAGGAGCAAAATTGTCGGAGGATCGTCAAAGGACCTGATAGACCCTGTTCGCCGACGGACACTACCCTGTCAAATTCAACGAAATGATGAGACAGCGATTGCCGAGAAAATACTCTAATGAGAGAATGACAGCAATGACTGGGGTATAAGTCATCATGACCTTGAATGCTTCTACGACCATGATTAATAATAATAATAATTAATAGTAATAAACAATAATAATACTAATAATAATAATTATAACGGTAATAATTAATAACACTAGTAATAATAATGATAATTAACAATAATGGTAACGATAAAATAATAATAATGACAATAATAATAAAATAATAACAATAATTAAAAATCAATATAATGAAAATTAATAAAAACAGTAATCAATAGCAGTAATAATAGTAATAATAATAATAATAATAATAATAATAATAACAGCAATAATAATAATAATAATAATA